GCAGATGACACAACTTTGCATGAAGTGAAGAACGCTTGGAGCACTTACTGAAGAAGAGTAAACACTACAGTCTTGAATATTAATTACATGTCAACATAAAAAAATGAAAAGCATCACCACTGGACTAATAGGCAGCGTCATAATGTTGTTGTTGTTGTTGTTGTTAAGTGTTGTCAAGTTGTAGACGACTCATAGCAACCCTATGAACAAAAAAATCTGAACACTTTTATAACTTTTATCCTTTCTCCAAGTTCATAGAGTTTCCCGAGGCAAGCTATTTTGGAAGTGGATGCCACTCTGGCTTTCAAGCTTGCTATAGTTGGGAAGCTCCACCAAACACTATCCACCGTGGGTAACCATTATAGCATTTGACACATCAGTGCCACAGTGTTTAGCATCATAGCAACCATGAGTTACCTCTGGACAGCAAATGGACAGATCAGTACTATACCACTTAGAAGAATGTTTGACCAAAACCAATTAAAGCCAAAAGCATTTTTAAATAAGAGGCCATATAAAAATCAACTCACACGCAATAGTGAGTAAAAATTCCACCCTAATCTTCACCAGAACCAGAAAATAAACCTCTGTAGAATCCAGCTGCTCCAGACGACTTCCCAACCTGGATTCCAAAAACATCGTAATAGATGAAGAAAAGATTGATGTCAAGAACTTCATCTGATTTGGACTCATGATCAATATCCATGGTAACGGCCATCAAGGAAGCAAGATATCAGTTGCATTTAAAAATATGCTGTCAAGGATCTCTCCAAAGAGCTAAAAGACCAAGGATGTCAATTTAAAGTATAAGGTGTACTTGATGCAAGCCATGGTATTTTCAATTGCTTCTTATGCATTTGAAACTTGGACATTGAATAAGGATGACATCAGAGGAATCGATCCCTTTGATAGTACAGAATACTCCACAGACTGGTAAAAGAAGGGAAAAATCTAAGAAGGGCAATAATGATGCTTCTTAGAGGCAAGGGTGAAGAAACTTCATCTCATACATTTTATGATGTTGTCAGGAGGTAACAATCCTTGGAAAAAGACATCACTTTGGGGAATGTGGAGTGTTAGAGAAAGAGGAAGGATCTTAATAAAATGTATTGACACGGTAAATGTTAACAGGGGCTTGAACATATCAGAGATGTTAAGGATGGTACGGGATAGGGCAAGGTAAAGATCCGTTGTTCATAGTGTTGATATGAGTCCTGGTCAACTTGAAGGTACCTTATAACAACAACTTTTTTAACAAGAGCCAATGGTGATAAAGAAAGAGGTTCAAGCTACAGTGAAAGCATTGACAAAAATAAGGCCCCAGGGATTGACAGGATTGATCAACTGACATGTGTTAACTATCCAATGCAAACCTGGACAGGCTCACCAGTCTATGCCAGCAAATCTGGAGGACAGTTGCCTAGCAGACTGACTGGAAGAAGTTCATATTTGTTCCCATTCCCAAAAAAGATGATTCAACAGAAAGTGGAAATTATCTAACAATGTCATTAATATCATACGCAAACAAAATATTGTGGAAGATCATCCAAAGATGGCTAGAACAGTACATTGACAAGGAAATTCCAAAAGTTCAAGCTGGATTTAGAAGAGGCCAGGACACCAAGGATATCATTGCTGATGTCAGATCCTGGCTGAAATCAGAGAATATCAGAAAAATGTCTACGTGTTTCTTATTGGTTATGCAAAAGCATTTAACTTTGTGGCTCATAACAGATTATGGCTAACATTAAGAAGAATGAAAACCCCAGAACACTTAATTATTCTCATGGAATATCTATACCTAGACCAAGAATCTTTTGTCTGAACAGAGCAAGGGAACACTGCCTGGTTTAAAATCAGGAAGGGTGTGGGTCAGAGATGTATCCTTTCTTCATACCTATTCAATCTGTATGTTGTTGTTGTTATGTGCCATCGAGTCATTTGCGACTCATAGCGACCCTATGTACAAGAGCTCTAAATGCTACTCTATCCTGTGCCAACCTAGCCATCTCAAAACGCACTTATTCCCACCGCTTAGTCACAGAATCGATCCATCTCATCAAAGGTCTTCCTCTCCTTCACCACCCCTCCACTGTGCCAAACATGATGTCCCTCTCCAAGGAACAGTCCCTCCTTGCAGCATGCCCAAAATATGTCAGACGAAGCTTCAGAATCCTTGACTCCAGGGAGCATTCTGGTTTCACTTTCTCCAGGACAATCCTGTTTGTTCTCCTAGCAGTTCATGGTATATTCACTCTTCTCCAGTACCACAGCTCAAAGGCATCAATCCTCTTTGTATCAACCCTAATCACTGTCCAACTCTCTGATGCATAGCACATAATTGCAAAGACTATAGCCTGGATCAGGTGCACCTTAGTCTCCAGCCTGACATTGTTGGTCTTCAGTACTCTTGAGAGGTCCCTCACAGCCGACTTTTCCAATGCAATTCATCTGGCTGCTGTTACCAAGAGTGTTGATTGTGGAGCCAAGCAAACTAAAACTGTTTACTCTCTCAATCTCTTCACCATTCATACTGATGCTGCCAATTGACCCAGTGGTGAGAATCTGTTTTCTTGATGTTGAGCTTCAATCCATATAGGAGGCTGCAGTCCTTGATCTTCTGCAGCAAGTGCTTCAGGTCCTCCTCAGCTTCAGAGAGCAGGGTTGTGTCATCTGCATAATGCAGGTTGTTGATGACTCTTCCACCAATCCTGATGCCACATTCCTCCTCGTTCAGCCCAGCATCTCAGATGATCTGTTCTGTATACAGATTGAAAAGGTATGGAGACAGAATAAATCCCTGATGGACCCCCTTCTTGATTTTGAACCATGTAGTGTCTCCTTGCTCTGTTCTGATCACTGCCTCTTGGTCCAAGTATAGGTTTCACATTAGCACAATTAAATGTTATGGGATTCCCATTCTTCTCAGAGTCAGCCACAGCTTGTTGTTATCCACACAGTCAAAAGCCTTTGCATAGCCAATGAAGCACAGACAGACATTCTTTTGGTATTCTTGCTTTCTGCCAAGATCCATCTAACATTAGCTATAATAGCCCTAGTACCACGACCTCTTCTAAATCCAGCCTGCACATCTGGCAGTTCTCTGTTGACATATTGTTCCAAACGTTTTTTGGATAATTTTCAGCAGAATCTTGCTTGCATGTGATATTAATGATATTGTTCGATAATTTCTGCACCCTGTTGGGTCACCTTTCTTTGGAATGGAAACAAATATCGATCTTTTCCAGTCAGTTGGTCAGCTGGCTGTCCTCCAGATTTCCTGGCACAACTTAGTGAGCACATTCAGGGCAGTGTCTGTCTGTTCAAATCTGTACACGAGCAAATAATTTAACTGGACCCTGGGAAGAGAAAAGTGGCATCATGATAGGAGGAAGACTCATCAGTAACCTGTACTATGCAAATGACACACCCTGCTTGCTGAAAGTGAGGACAACTTGAAGTGCTTGCTGAAGATCCAGAATTACAGCCTTCAATAGGGATTATATTTCAACATCAAGAAAACAAAGGTACTCATAACTGGACCAATAGGTAACATCAATATGGAGAACAAATTGAAATTGTCAATGATTTCATCTTCCTTGGATCAACACTCAACACCCTTGGTACCAACAGAAAATGTATTGCAATAGGCAAGTCTCCTTGTCAGGGACCTCTCCAAAATACTGTAAAACATTGATGTCAGTTTGAAGTATGCCTGAATTGGACTGTGGTCTTTTCAATCACCTTCTATGCATCTGACAGCTGGGCACTGAATAACAGGAAAAGAATTTATACCTGTTTTTATTTGTTCTGCCAAGATTAACAGCACACTATAAGAAGACTCAAGCCAACACAGTCCCAAATGCTTAACCAGCTGAATAAGTACGTCATTTCTATCATTAACAACTTCATCCATGGCTCAGTTCCCCAATTACTCTGTGGCCTTTGGGTTTGGTGGTTCACTAGCGGGTCCTTCAGAGACTCAGGTCAGTCAGGGGAATGACTCACATGACTGCAGGTATGAAGGTAGAAACTGGCAAGCAATAGGTCAGGCTGAATGTAGCTGGATGCTTATTTCATCATATATACGATTTCTCAGTCCAGACAACTGTTTATCCTCGAGCAAATTTGGTCACAGTTATGCTGCCATCTTATGTTGGTGTTTTCACATACTCTACAGTGTGGAGAGTGCTCATTTATATTGGTCCCACAGCTGTTGATGATTTGCAAGACCCGTGTTCCTAGTTAATTAACTGAAGCTAGGAAAGCCAATGAGCAAGGTTTCTGACACCACAATGTCTTAGAGTTGTGGTGTTGAAGAGTACTGAATATCCCAAGGACCACCATAAGAAGTGCAACCAAAGTGCTCCTTAAGCAAAGATGGCTATTCGCCTCTTATACTTTGAACATGTTGCTACAAGAGGTATTCCTTGGAAAGGGATATCATGCTTGGAAAGATAGAGGGTCAGTAAAAGAGAGAAGACTCTCTAAAGATGGACTAATACTGACTGCTGCAGTGGGCTTAAGTGTCAGGTCCGCTGTTCATAAAGGTTGCTTATTCTACTCCACTCAAACACCAACGTAATGGGGTGTCAGCGCAAGGATCACTGGACTCAGCACAGTAAAGGTTATGTGTCAGAAGCTGATGGGCAGCAACTTGCACAGTCTCAGGGAAGGCGTATCTGAGGGGGAAGGGAGGAGCGAGTACAGAGGCTTGCTGTTCCCTTAGCAACCAGATTAATGAGAGTCTCCCGTTCTCACGTGTTACCTTTGTCCTGTTGATGAAGACCTAAGAAAGGTCACGTCCGGTTTGGTTCCTAGCCACGTCTCTGATTGGCTCAAGCTGCCAAGAAGGCGGGGCCAGACGTCTGAGGGCGGGGCCTGCGGCCCCCGATCTCGGCCCTGTTCCCGCACAGCGGAAGTCGACCTCACCGCCCCGGAAGTGTAATCCCTGCTGTCTTTCCAGTGTGGAGTTGGACAGTGAGACAGATGCTCGTAAGATGCCGGGCGCCACGGCTAGGGGCTCGGAGTTGTCCGAGAGGATCGAAAGCTTCGTGGAAACCCTGAAGCGGGGTGGCGGGAAGCACAGCTCCGAGGACATGGCTCGGGAGACCCTGGCGCTGCTACGGCAGATCATCACGGACCACGGCTGGAGCAATGCGGGTGAGGCCATCTAGATCCGACCGCGGCCCCTTTCCATTCGGGATGCCAAGGCTGAAAGCCGTCTTGGGCTCACGGCGCTCCTTGCTTGTTCACTCTCTCTCTCTTGATCTGTAGAGGAGCTCATGGAGCTGATCCGCCGGGAGGGCCGGAGGATGACAGCCGCACAGCCCTCGGAGACTACAGTGGGCAACATGGTGCGGAGAGTGCTCAAGATCATCCGCGAGGAGTACGGCAGGTCAGGCCCACGGTCTGGGCTTCGAGTTGGACTCGTGAAGCGTTTTCCAAGCCTCATTTCCAGCTTGGATCCTCCCTAACCGCTCCTCCTTCCCACCTCCCTTCGATCTTGTTGCCTCCATAGACTTCACGGGCGGAGCGAAGAGAGCGATCAGCAGGAATCCCTGCACAAACTCCTAACATCCGAAGGCCTGAGCGAGGACTTCAGCTTCCACTATGCCCAACTCCAGGCCAACATCATCGAAGCAATTAATGAGCTTCTGGTGGAGCTGGGTAAGAGTTCTTTTGATCTCTAAGTAGAAAAAGCAGGTGAGATAAATGAAGACCCTAGAAGTTGTTCATTAGCAAAGCTGAAAGTGGTCACCTGGTTCTCAGGTTTGCCCTTTATAAACTACAGATTCACAGCTGGGAGAGACTCTTATTAGACTTCATTTAATGAACCCTCAAAAACCAAAGTTGAGAATCCCTTTTGCTTTAAACAACCTCCTGAATCGTCATACAACCTGCTCTCCATATTGAAGGTTTCACACCCTTGGATTCAACCTACCTCCTATCAAAAATATTCAGGGGAAAAACATTTAAGTGATCAGAGGATCCCGCCAAAACCAAGAGGAAGTGGAAAGTGCTATATACATAATAGTTGCATTATATTTAATATTATATGTAATCTAGAGAGGATTTAAAGTGTATGGGAGGCTGTGCATAGGATATCAGTAAATTCTATGTCATTTTATATAAGGAACTTGAGCACCTCGGATTTTAGTATCATTAGCACACCTTAGTACTGCGGGATGAATGTGCGCTCAGGAAATCTGTAGATAGTTGGGGGACGGAGGAACAGTAAATGAATGAATGAATATTTTTAAAAAGTGAACTAGAGGAGGGGGAAAGGAGATCCAGGGAGTAAAATGTGCAACAATGAATGAGAATTTAACTTCTCTGTAAGTGTTTGTTAAAATCACAATTAAAATAAAACTTTATTTACCAAAAAGAAAGAAAAAATCTGTAGATAATTATTGCAGATTTCCCACTCAGGACAAAGATGCTGATCTGTGCCCTAAGCTGCTGCTTTCGAGTTTCTCCTCGGGTTTTTTTGTTCGTCTCTTTCTAACTCAGATGGAGATACTGTGGCCACTTTTTGGAGTAAGAGTTCTTTAAGGGAAGAACTATCTTGGGCACTTTAGGATTTCCTAGACCTGATCATCCATTTCTAGCCTGAAAGTGTTGTCTTCAGGATTATTTGCAGGTGGTGTCTGAACACTAATGGCAGGGATTTTGATGTGGAAGTGGTTGATGAGCAGAGGCACTCCTGGGGAAAGGGCAGGCTCAGGACTTGAGAGGCAGAAGACCCCAGAGCCTAGAGAAGTGGGCTTTAAGAAACTAACTTTTTTTTTTTAAGTCTGTTAACCCTGTAGTAGGTACAAGAATTAGCTCTGTGGATAATCTGTGCAGGTCAAGCTTCCCCTTCATACTGTCATATCTGTCAGTATGAAGGATCCAGTTTACCTTGCAAAAGTGACTATGTTTGCAGAAGGGACAACGGAGAACATTGCCGCCCAGGCTCTGGAGCATATTCACTCCAATGAGGTTATCATGACCATTGGCTACTCCCGAACAGTCGAAGCCTTCCTCAACGAGGCTGCCCGGAAGCGCAAATTCCACGTCATTGTGGCAGAGTGTGCCCCTTTCTGCCAGGTAGGGAACTACTCCAGGGACCAAGAGAAAAGGGAAAGTGAGGTGGGACTAAAGGAGGGCAGGGTGGGGTCCTGGCCAACTTGGAAATGGTAAGCAAGACATTGAGACAGTGGGAAGATGGCGAGAAGCTGTACAGGGATTTTCAAGTTGTTCATCTTATGAACGACTCTGGTAAGCTCTGGTTTAAGAAAGAACAGTGAACTAGATTCAAGAAAAGATAACTAAGGGCCCTTTCAGTGATCAAAACAGGGTATATCATCTTAGAGATGAGTGGTGCTCAGTCTGACCTCTCGTGAGTCAATAGGTAGGTCGGGAATAGTGAAGCCCATTGCCATGGAGTAGATTTCCCGCTCAGCACGCCCCTACGAGATTTCCTGAACTGTCACTTGGACAGTACCCTGTCACATCCTTCTCCTGCGGAGCTGCTGGTGGGTCCAAAACACCAACATTTCAAGTTAGCATTTGAACACTTTCACCAGTGTGCCACCAGGGCTCCCTGGGTAACTACTAGTTCTTAAAAGAGAACATATTATGTCAGGATACAGGATGTTGTAAAATAATAAGCTCGCTGTGCTCATTATTTCAGCAAGCAGTACTTCCAGTTTTGTGGCTTCTCTGGACCATTAGACGTTTATTAGCTTCCCCTCAGTTTGCTGGCACCTTACCAGAGAATACTTAGAAAATGAGTTATCTGAAGGGAACTGTGTTCGGGATCTGCCTGATGTTACAGAGGGTACAGGGAAGATACTAGAGAGCTGTGTTGGCTTAGTGGTAAAGGAGTTACATTGGCAACCCAAAGGCACTCAGTTTGAATCCACCAGCTGTTCTGAGGGAGAAACAAAGGCAGTCTCCTCTGGTGCAGTCGATGGTCAGCTGGGAGTTGGTTCTGACTCCATGGTACCCAAAAACAACTGCACCAAGTACAGTATCACAAAAGCTCATCTCCAGTTACACCTGGGCAGTCTTTCATCAGGTCTCCCTCGTCCTCCCGCCCCAGCCTTTCCTTTCTCTTGCAGGGTCATGAGATGGCCGTCAACTTGTCCAAGGCAGGTATTGAAACCACTGTCATGACTGATGCTGCCATTTTTGCTGTTATGTCAAGAGTCAATAAAGTAAGTGTCTTCAGCATCTGTTAACTGAATTTCTTTTCCCTTTATGTCCTTGTTTTTGTGATAGCTTAGAGTACTGGAAGGAATTCACTAGTGCCTAAAGCTAAGCGTGCCAGCTGCAGGGACTATGAGAAGCTCCCTTTGCTCAGAGTCTGACAGCGGTAGCTCATGGATGATAAAGGCTCCTGACTTCTCAGGAAGCATAGTTTCTAGATTTCCAGGAAAGGCAGGGCTCAGAGCTGCTGGTAGTGCAGTTTCAGGCCCACAATATACTCAGTCCTGCCTTGAAAAGGTACTTTTAAATTCAAGTTGTTGGTGCTGAGCCCAACATCCCTTTCCCTCTTATGGTCTGTGACCCCTTATGATGCCAGGACCTGAACACTCTGAGGTGCTTGCTTTCAGCATGGCTCACAGTTTTCTTTCTCTTCCAAAGGTGATCATTGGCACAAAGACCATCCTGGCCAATGGTGCCCTGAGAGCTGTGGCAGGAACGCACACACTAGCACTCGCAGCAAAACACCATTTCACCCCGCTCATCGTCTGTGCTCCTATGTTCAAGCTTTCCCCACAGGTAGGTCGGTCGGTCTGTGTGTGGTAGCCAACAGAGGGGAGAAGCCAAAGTACATACTTAAACCCTTAGCATTCAATCTGCTCACTCTGGGACCTCTCTGTGTCTGCATTTACTCAATGGATTAGACCCAGTGGGTACTGGAAAGAACCACAGAACTCTTCATCCAGGACAACCAACTAAAAATTAGAACCTTCTAGCTTTGTTTTTGTTGTTAGGTGCTGTTAAGTCAACTACAACCCAGAGTCCCTTTTTTGATCCACAGGTCTGAACCCTGTCCTATCCTGTGCCGTCCTCATCATCTCTGACACACTTGAGCCCATTGCACCAGTCACTGTCTTTTTTGTTGAGGGTCTTTCTTTCACTGCCCCTCCACCTTTCCAAATGTCAGGTCCCTTTCCAATGAGTAGCCAGTCCTAGCAACACGCCCAGAGTATGTGAGACAGTTTTGCCATCCTTAACTCTAAGGATCCATGTAGCTATGCTTTTTTCAAGATACATTTTTTTTCTCTTTGGCAGTCCATGGAATATTCAGTACTCTCCTGCAACACCACGGCTCCAAGGCCTCAATAATTCTTCCGTCATCATATTCATTTTCCAGCTCTCGGATGCCTAGCAAGTGATTGAAAACACTATGGCCTGACCCAGGCACACTTTTGCCTTCAGATTGACATTATTGCTTCTCAGTAATTTGGAGAGTTCCCTGCCAGCAGATTTGCCAGCTTTTGGAATTCAGAATTGCAATGACAGGACAAAACATAGTTGGGACAGACCCTTTGCTTTGCCAGCACTCCTCAACAGCACAGTCATGTCTTTGAAGCAGGTAGAAACGAGAGAAAGAATTGTTTCTTATACATCCCAGCTCCAAGCCTGTCTCCCTTAGACTGAGCATAGGCTGTTACTAAAGAAAGCCATTTCATCTGTGATAGGTGCTGTTTTGAGGACATGAGCCTATTTATATGTCTCTACTTCTTTTGAAATGAATGCTTTAGCATGTTGCTAGGCGGAGCTAGTCCTTGGAGAAGGACATGATGCTGGGAAGGGTGGAGGTTTGGCCAAGGAGAGAAAGCCCTCAATCCGGTGGATTGACACGGTGACTGCCGCAATGGACTTTTGTGTGTCATGAAGTGTGAGGATGGCACAGGACAGGACAGGGTTCAGATCTTTTGTTCATAGGGTTGCTGCGAGTCATGCTCTACTTGACAGCACCTAACAGCTTCTTTTACCCTTTTCTAGTTCCCCAGTGAAGAGGATTCTTTTCACAAGTTTGTGGCTCCTGAAGAAGTCCTCCCTTTCACAGAAGGTATAGTCAGAGTGTGTGGGTGTGTGAGAGAGAGATTTTGTCCCTTTCACAGAAGGTACAATCATTGTATGTGTGTGTGTGAGAGAGAGAAAGAGATTTTGTTGTGGTTTGGTGGCCAGAAGGACCAAATGCTATCAGCTAGAGTTTTCTTGTGACTGTTGAGCATCTTAGAGTGTTGAGGGGCCTGTGTGGTCCATACTCTGAGTAATCATTTGAGGTGAGTTGTTGGCTCACCAAGTGTTGGCTGGCTTGGGCTGTGCACATAGCTGGAGACCAGGCAGCAGTCTCATGGGATCATGTGCTTGTTTTCATTTGCTGTCCAGAGGCCAGTTCAGTGAAGTGGCTGCCAAAGGAAGTGGCCTTAGAAATATTCCTCCTTATAAAATTCACTTCTTACTGTGCTGAGTCCTTTTCTCTGATTTCTTCTGAGGACAGCAGCTTTGTCCGATGAGCCTACCCCCTCAAGAGCAATTAACGTGGCCTTAAACACCTACTGGAGCAAAACTAGTATTTGGAGTTCCTTCTTGGAAGTTGAGTAACTTCATCCAGACATTCTCTCAAGTCCATTGCTGAGCACACCCTACGTACCCAGCACTATTTTTGGTGCTGAGGATATGAGAATGAGCAAAACAAATCCGGCCCCAGCTCCAGTGTTTATATTTCTGTTGAAGGAAGATGGACAAGAAAATGTCAGGTCGTGAGATATTTTAGAAAGAAAACAACAGGTCACCATGATGTGATGGGAAGTGGCTGGGGAACTGCTTTAGATGAGCGCGTGCAAGGTTCCTTGTGAGGTGATATTCCAGCAGCATCCTAAATGATAACTGCATGAAGATCAGGGAGAGTTTTCCAGGGGCTTGTGAAAAGGGCAAGAAAGCAGAGCACACGTGAGGCTTATTGAAATAAGATGGCCACGTGGTGGGAGAGTAGAGAGCAAGCAAAAGTGGTATAGGTTGTTATTTGCATAACAGAGGGGCCAGATCTTGTGGGCTGTATTCCCAAGCTTGAGTTTTCTAAGAGCAATTGAAAGGCATTGGAAAATGTTAAGCAGGGAGTATTGTCTGTCCTTTTGGTTTGTATTTTGCTGCAGCTTTTCCTCAGTGAAATAGCTGACAGACTTGCATTATTGAGCCTGGAGTCTCTTTGCTGTTGAAATACTCAGCAGCATCCTCGGATTCACCTTGAGCATATGTGCTTGCCTTTCAGGGGACATTCTGGAGAAGGTCAGTGTGCACTGCCCGGTGTTTGACTACGTCCCCCCAGAGCTCATTACCCTCTTTATCTCTAATATCGGCGGGAACGCACCTTCCTACATCTACCGCCTGATGAGTGAACTCTACCATCCTGATGATCATGTCCTGTGACCACCACACGCTGGTTAGACAAACCCAGAACAGAGAGACCTCACTGGCTGCCGAAACACGTCCGCCTTGTAAAGGGAGACTGCAGTGGCTTCAACTAAAGCGAAACTTGGCATTTGATCTGCCTTTCCGGTCATCCTCCAGCAAGGGCAAACACACGTCTGGATTTTTTGCCTTTTAGTCTTAACACCACAGCAGAACTTGACCCATTGACCATGGAGTCTCTTGGTTACATGGTTGGGTCTTTGTGAGGAACTTAACCTTTCTGGTCATTGCTGTGTGAAGAGTAACACCAAGTACCTGGCTGGGAGACAGGATTTTTTGCTCAGAAATACCTACCACACCTTTTCCTAGGCTCTGCCAATAAAAGCAACTTGAAGGTGCCTGCGTTGATTTATTGTCTCTCAGAGTGAACTCCCTGAAATAGCAACAACAGCAGAGGCCTTTTCTGTTTTCACAGAGGGCCGTTATTAGAGGTGATAAGTCTAAAATAGAGAAGTTCAAATGACAGTATTTATAGTTTCCTTTGTAATTCACCAGAAATGATTCTAAACAGCTTCTTCAAGTACATGGTTTTCTGATAATCAGAATAACCAAGGATCTTTTAGAAAAAAAAATATCCAGAAATTTGGGTCCCATCCCAGACCTACTTGAATTGGATCCCTAGGGTGGTATGTGGCTATCTGTGTGTTTATGCTTCCCAGGAAAAGACCCACTTGTGGGCTAATAATAGGACTTCTAGTTGGGATAATCCTTTAAGAGGGCAATTTGGAACTTATATTTCTATAGTTAGTTGGGCAAGTATGGAAAGACAAATATGTATACATTGAAACAGAGGTTTCACATTAGCTATATATAAAGATATTTCCCCTGTGTTTGTCCTCCCAGAGTTCATTGCCCTTTTTAAAAAAAAAAATTATTATTTTTGGGCATTACTGTCAAATCAGATCGGACTGGTACAGGAGGAGATTGTCCCTCCTTCTCCAGCGCACCTCTGGGATTGCAGTGCAGCTTCCTGCCACTAGGCCACCAGAGCTCCCTTCATTGCCCTTTTTATTTCATCATTAGAACACACCTTTCTCCATCAACCACTTGATGAGTGAACTCGACCATCCTGATGATCCTAATATATTACCTATATATATATTTCCCAAGAAAGGTGACCCAATAAAATGTGGAAGTTATAAAACAATATCATTAATATGTCATGCAAACAGGATATTGCTCAAGATCATCCAAAAACAGAACCATACCTTAGCAGAAGCTCAAGCTGGATTTAGAAGAGGCCTTTGCACTAGGGATATTGCTGATGTCAGGTGGATCCTGGCTGAAAAGTAGAGAATACTGGGAAAATGTCTATTTAGTTTTATTCTGTATGCAAAGGCATTTGACTATATGGATTGAAACAAACTATAGCTGACATTGAGAAGAATGGGAATCCCAGAAGACTAATTATTCTTGTATGAAATCAGTGTCTAGACCAAGAATTTGTTACCTGAACAGAGCAAGGGAACCCTACATGGTTTAAGTTCTCCAAAGAACAATGTGGCATCGGGATCAGAGAAGACTCAATAACCTGCATTGTGCAGATGACATGATCATACTTGCTGAAAGTGAGGAAGACTTGAAATACTTGCTGTAGAAAATCAGACTACAGTCTTCAATATGGATTGCATTTCAACATTAAGACAAAAATCCTCACCACTGGACTGATAATACCATGTTGTTGATTGCCTTTAAGTTGAAGACAACTCATAGCCTATGAATAAAAGGCCTGAAGCCCCTCTACTACAACTATCAACTTTTATCAAAGTTAATAGAGTTTCCGGAGGCATGTTGTTTAGGAAGTGGATGCCACTCCTGCTTCCAGTTTAGATGGATAAAAAGTTGAAATTGTCAACAATTTCATCTTTCTTGGCTCTACAATCAATACCCTTGGTATAAACAGGAGATCAAGAGACATATTGCATTGGAAAAGTTAGCTGTCAGGGACCTCTTCAAATTACTGAGGAGAAATTAGTTTGAAGATAAAGGTATACCTTATTCAGGCTGTGGTCTTTTCAATCACTTGCTACAAATCTAAAAGCTGGGTAATGTCTTTACTGAATATCCCAGGGACTGCTAAAAGAACAAATAGCAGCTATGTCCTGGAGAATGTGTGGCCAGAATATTCCTTGGAAGCAAGGATCATGAAGCTTCGTTACACATAGTTTAGGCATGCTACTAGGAGAGGCTGTTCCTTGGAAAGGGTCATCATGTTTGGAAAGGTGAATGGTTAGTGCAAGAAGGGAGACCTTCAACAAGACGTATTGGCACAGTGACTGTGGCAGTGCGTTCGAGTGTGTCAGATGATGAGGATGGCGCAGGATAGGACAGGGAGGGTTCAGATCTGTTGCTCATAGAGTCACTGAGTCATCCTGGACTTGACCTGACAACAACACGAGTCAATGGGCCCAGTGAAAAAATGGAGGGTTTCCATCTTCTGGCATCAGAAATTGCAGGCACAGTTAAGTGTTATGGCCTAGTGGGTAGGTGGGCAGTTCAAATCCACCAGCTATCTGCTCTGAGGAAAAACATGGGTAATCTGCTGTGCGATTGACAGCCTCCCGAAAACTGGCTTAGAGGTCATCTATGAGTCTCTTTCCACTCAATGGCCATGAGTTGAATTGTTCACTTCTAAGAATTTACTAACAGCTTCTGCTTGGTATGTGGGTCTAGAGTTGCCAAGTCTTGAGTTTTCAATAGAAGCAAGAAATTAAATTTTTTTTTAATTATTTTTTATTTTTTACAGAGGTTTTGGATTTCCATTCATTCATTGCC